TGTAAGGTAAACGTTGAATTATTTTAGCTGAGTAATTACTGGATCTTGAAAACAAGATAAATGCTTAGAATGGAGACAATGGGGTATGATAATTTTGTAAATGCTGGAAATGGAACATCGTCCTCTTCCTTTAGTCATGGGGATTGAACTCAGCGCCTCATGCATGCATGCAAAGCAAGTGTTCTACCACTGAATTGTTTTGTTGTTTTTTAAAGGTTTGTTTTTGAGACAGGGTTTCTCTGGTTTTGGTGCCTGTCCTGGATCCTGCGCTGCAGACCAGGCTGGCCTTGAACTCACAGAGATCCGCTGGGCTCTGCCTCCCAAGTGCTGGGATTAAAGGCGTGTGCCACACCGCCGGCAAAGGTATTTTTTATTAGCACATTTTAATGACAGGTAATGGTTTCATTATGGAATTTTTGTGCATATACATAATAATCTTGATCATATACACATTGCTTTTCTTTTAGCTTGCTCTCCATAATCCCATTCCTACTTCTGCAGCCCAATGCTGTCTGGTGTGGTGTGGTGTGCTGTGGTGTGGTGTGTGTGTGTGTGTGTGTGTGTGTGTGTGTGTGTGTGTGTGTGTGTGTACACACCCCAAGGCATCTCATTAGGGTTGTTCACACTTCCCTCATTACCACATAAAGCCCACTATCCCTAGCCCTCTTTACTTTTTATTTGAGACATCTCACCAAGTTGCCTAGTCAGGCCTTGAGCCCATGATGGTCCTGAGTCTTGGCATCCTGAATAGCTGTTACTAGAGGAGGTCTGCCATTAATTACGTCTGCCATTCACCAAGCTGCGTCCCACTATGGGAATGGAATCTTCACAAAATACTTGTGTAATCCCAGCCACAGCCCCATGTAACCTGAAGATTTTTTTTTGTTTTGAGACAGGGATCCATATAGCTCAGCTTGGCTTTTGAACTTCTGATCTCCATGTCTCCAGCTCCCAAATGCTATGATTACAAGTGTGTGCTACCACACCTAGTTTATATGGTACTGGGGGGTGAGCCCAGGGCTGGCATTCCAGGCCAGCACTCTGCCAAATGAGCTCCTGCCCCTGACAGGTACTCTTGTGTGCCTAGTCTTCACGCCCCTTCCCCTTATGTTACCTCCTTTGGAAGCTTGAACAGTTTTCATTTTGGAGAAGGGAGAGGAGAGGACAGAAGCCCTTTGTTCCCAGGATCCCTTACTTAACCATCTTAGGGGCATTAGTTAACTGTATTCCGTAGTATCCTTCACATGGTGGCTGTTTACATATTCAACATGAGACTTGAATTCTTTTGTGGGCTTGGGAAACAGTTTGTCTTTCTGAGCACATTGGTTTGTCCCCCAGATCTCCTGGGTTCTTTCTTGTTGTTTTTCTACTATTTTGTTGTGCTGATCCCTGAAGCCAGGGCCTGGCCAGTTCTATGTAGGCGCTCTACTGAGCTACCGTCTCCAGCCTTCTCTCTAAGTTACATTTTTATTTATGAACTAATTGTCTCACCATGTGCTCGTGGAGGTCAGAGGATGATTAGCAAGAGTCAGTTTGATCCACTTTGTGGATCCCGGTGAATGAACTTGGCTGGAGGCTTGGTGGTAAACATCTTTACTCATTGACCTGCATGCACGTGTGGCTTATACACACACACCCCTTTTTAATTTTGTTTTGTTTTGAGGCAGGGTCTCAATCTAGGCTGGACTGCAAAGTACTATGAATGACTTTGAACTTCATCTGAGCTGTGGCCTATCCTTCCAAGTGCTGGTATTACAAGCATGTCACCACTCAGCCAAAGTTAAAAAAAATAATAGTAACAATTAATTAAAGTGAAATTGAAAAAAAAAAAAAGCCTGGGCTCAACAGGAAACTCTTAGTAAATGCTTGCTATATAAGAAGGGATGTGTAGCCGGGCGGTGGTGGCGCACGCCTTTAATCCCAGCACTTGGGAGGCAGAGGCAGGTGGATCTCTGAGTTCAAGGCCAGCCTGGGTTACCAAGTGAGTTCCAGGAAAAGGCGCAAAGCTACACAGAGAAACCCTGTCTCGAAAAACAAAAAACAAAAACAAATAAACAAAAAAAAAAACAAAAAGAAGGGATGTGAGTTTGTCCACATAAAAAGTGGACATGGGCCAGCCGAGCGGTGGTGGATCACACCTTTAGCCCCAGTACTCGGGGGAAGCAGAGGCAGGCGGATCTCTGAGTTTGAGGCTGGCCTGGTCTACAGAGTGAGTTCCAAAGCTACAGAGAAAAACCCTGTGTCAAAAAACATACATACATAAATGGACATGGGGACCGACGGGACGGCAGTGTGCATGCCTTTAATCCCAGCACTTGGGAGGCAGAGGCAGGCGGATCTCTGAGTTCAAGGCCAGCCTGGTCTACAGAGAGATCCAGGACAGGCACCAAAACGACACAGAGAAACCCTGTCTCGAAAAACCAAACAACAAAAAGTAGACATGGGTGCATTGCGTGTATAATAATATAAGCCAGTACTGAGGAGGCTGAAACAGTTCTGGGGCCTGCATGTCAGCCGACCTGACCTGACCAGACCAGTGGGTTCCAGGCCGATGAGAGACCCTGTATCCATAAAGACCCACCTGAGGATGACCTAGCCTCCACAAACATGACTTGGGATGGAAGCAGGCTAACCGTGTGTAAGGGGAGGACATGGTGGGTGTTTGGTGCTGTGCCGAGTTACGTCACATTAGGTCCGGACTGATGCGTGTGGCAGGGATGCTCAGGTGGTCTGCCTTTCCTTCCTCAGGTGGTCTGTGATGAGAACGGTTCTAAGGGTTATGCTTTTGTCCACTTCGAGACCCAAGAGGCTGCCGACAAGGCCATCGAGAAGATGAATGGCATGCTCCTCAATGACCGCAAAGTGTGAGTGTCCCAGTCTGGAGCGACAACCATCGCATGAGCCAGCCATGGCCCCACCTCGGTATTAACTGGCACACACAAGGCGGCTACTGGTTCTCTCGGCCCAAGAGTGGCCTGCTCCCACCTCTCCACTCCAGGGCTGGTGAGTCTCCCTGCCCGAGCCATGGCAGCCCTTTTGACTCGCCACGGTCGGCTCCCTGCCCGAGCCACGGCCCGCCTGCTGCCTCTCCCTTAAAGGCCTTCATCTGTGGGTTTTGAGCATCAGCAACTGGGGCTGGCTGGAAGACAGCTCTGGGCCCGTCTGAGCAGGGGTCTTGGCCAGCGGCAGAGTGGAGAGGCCCTGGGCTGACCAGGAGCTAGCTACTAGCTGTGACCTTGGCTTTCCTTTCACTCAGGTCTGCCCATGGGTCTCTTGCTAGTTTTTGGCACCAAATTGTCCTATCTAGTTCTTCCTTCCTCTGAGCTGCAATTCCATTTCACTGTATGCTTTAAAAAAAAAAAATCCATCCCTTTGCATAACATCTTGTCATTACTGTGGGTTGGGGACAGAATTTAGCTGACCCCTATGGGGCAAGGGAAATTATTGTTACATTGTGGCTATTACAAGCAACACTCATTTCTGTCCTTGGTGGTGTGGAATAGACAAGGCTGTGTTTGCGTCTGTGTGGGGGGTGTGGAGATGTTTTCCTGTTAGGATACCATGTGATGCAACAGGAAAGCAAAGGTTACCTCTGATGGCGGCAGTGTTCGCTGCTCGACTAACCACTGTTAACAGTTTGATTGTATCCTTCCAGACATTTTCTATGCATTTACATAGATGCACAGAAATGAACGTTTTAAAAACATGGTCGTCAGGTTTCTTCACGAAGGCAGTGTGATGTGGTAGGCGTGGCCCTGGTCTGAACCAGGAGCCCTGGGACTGGTCCTTGCAGGATAGTCCTGCCTCTTTCTTTTTCTGCTGGGGACTTGGGGCATCTGAGCTTGTTCTCATGGCGGATGGGGTCCTCATGTGTTTTAACCTCTCCTGTCAGCCTTTAATCTGCATTCCTTTGGGCCTCTGGAAATCACGTTTTGTTCCTTCTGGGTAATCACTCTTCATGATTTCTTTGTAGGTTTGTGGGCAGATTCAAGTCTCGCAAAGAGCGTGAAGCTGAGCTTGGAGCCAAGGCCAAGGAATTCACCAATGTTTATATCAAAAACTTTGGGGAAGAAGTGGATGATGATAATCTGAAAGAGCTATTCAGCCAGTTTGGTAAGTTGAGGTCTGTAGCCCACATGTCTGTCTGTCCTCTTGTACTGGCAAGAAATAACCTGTGTTTACTTAAGAAACAGGGCACTTATCTCAGGGTCAGAGGGTGAATAGGGTCCAGGCCTTTTTCTCCTGGCTTCATCCTGGCTCCTTCCTTTCTAAGTTATCCTAGATGCTTGGTTGAGTTTTAGACCAGGCGTGGTACCTCTTTCTGCCTCCGACCCATCTGGGCTCAGTCAGACATTTATTTCCTTCAGCTGAGTTACTAGCAAGAAGTCTTCTTGAACTGTGTTAGAGACCCGTGTCACTAACAGTTCTGTCCTTTGGTAACAGGTAAAACCTTAAGTGTCAAGGTGATGAGAGACCCCAGTGGGAAATCCAAAGGCTTCGGCTTTGTAAGTTACGAGAAACACGAGGACGCCAATAAGGTGAGAGGACTGGGAGGGTCGGGAAGAACCTGTAGGCTGTACCTAGTGCATGGGCGAGCTGAGCTAGAGCGGGCTGCCCGGTGGTGGATGTGCACCTCTGTGCCCCACACATCAACACCGGTGCAGATCCACAGTTAGTGTATCTGTTACGTCACCCAGCATTTGCTCTTACCTGTCACCTCCTACTGTAGAAAGATTGGGACAGGTAGTTGTTCCCATTCTCGGGGAGAGAAGCTGAAGTCTTGAGTTGAGCCTCCACTCGTGGGCAGAGCAAGCAGTGTGCTGGACTCTGAACCTGCAAAGGGGCCTGAAAAGCCTATAGCAGGATCATCAGGCAGGCGACTCAGGCCATCTGCCTGTGTTTCTACAAATACTGGGTGTGGAGTCTTCTCCTCTCTTGCCCTCCGCACTCAAATCTTTCCCAGTCCTGCTGCTTGGTGCCGGTCTGGGGACAAGGCAGTGCCACAACAGAGCAGAGAATATCCAGATGGGTCGTTTCCATTTGTCCTGGGGCCTGTCTCTACAGCTCTGCCACACTTCCTTCCTCCTGGGCAGGGAGGGAGGGGGTTTTGAAGTTGGAGCTGGGGCTGGGAATTAGGAACAAACGGTATGGGATCTCTGGACCTCTAACAGTTAGATGCTAACTCCACTCTCCAGGTGAGTCGAGATTAGTGGAGCAGGCTTTAGAGGCGGGACGAAGCAGATTGGCAGTCCCGTGGGGAAGGCTTCTGGTCTCTGCTCTAGATTGAAGAAGACCATGTCTCTGTACCTGCAGTAAAGACATCCGTTTGCTTTCTAGGCTGTGGAAGAAATGAATGGAAAAGAAATGAGTGGGAAAGCCATATTTGTAGGCCGTGCACAGAAAAAAGTAGAACGTCAGGCTGAACTAAAACGGAAGTTTGAGCAACTGAAGCAGGAGCGAATTAGTCGGTACCAGGTGAGGTGTTTGCAACGCGCCCATCTGCAGTGTTTTAGACTTCTCTTTGGGGGACCTAGCATCTGTACTTGACTCCCTGCAAAGATCAGGTTTAAAGGTTGTGACCTCCCAGGTGTGACAGTCATTGATGAGCAGGAACAGTGATTCCAGCCTGTGTTCTGAAAGTGTCTGCTTACTGCTCTTTGCTGGGTGGGTTCATTTTTCTTAAACTGATGCCCCCTTTGGAGTGACAGGTAGCTGAAAGAACCCTGGAGGGTGAGTGAGTGGCCAGAGCAGCTGTGGAGAAGGTGATGTGGCCCTGGCGGTTTTAGGGAAGGAGTTGCTCAGCCTGGCCTTGTATCAGAATCCCCGGCTGCTGCTGCTGCTGTCTTTTTTTTTTCTTTTTTTAAAATTTATTTATTATGTATACAGTGTTTATTTTTATTATGTATACAGTGTTCTGCCTGCCTATAGGCCAGAAGAGGGCACCAGATCTCATTATAGATGGTTGTGAGCTGCCATGTGGTTGCTGGGAATTGAACTCAGGACCTCTGGGAGAACAGTCAGTGCTCTTAACCTCTGAGCCATCTCTCCAGCCTGTCTTTTTTTTCTTTTGAGGCAGTAGGGCCTGGAGGAGGTCACAATGTAGCCTAGGCTGACCTTGAACTCCCAGAAATTTTCTCAATACATGCTAGGCCCCAACTTGTGTTCTGGGTTTTGTTTTTTTGAGCTAGAGTCTTGCTATGTAGCCTAGGCTGGCCTCAAACATGAAATAGCCCACCTGCCTCTTCCCCCGAGTGCTGGGGTTATAGGCAAGGGTTTGGGGGCGTTTTGTTTTGTTTTTTGAGACAGGTTTTCTGTGTAGTCCTGGCTGTCCTGGAAACAGGCTGGCTTCCAACTCAGAGATGCTTGCTCCTGCCTCTGCCTCCCCAGTGCTGGGATTAAAGGCGTGCATCACCGCTTTTTTTTTTTTTTTTTTTTTTTTAAACAGGCAAGAGTTTTAATTGCCAGGTTCCCAAGCATGTTGTGGGCCCCACACTTGGGAAGTGGCTGTGTGTGTACAGGTGTAACTAACAGTGATCCCTCCCCAGGGAGTGAATCTCTACATTAAGAACTTGGATGACACCATTGACGATGAGAAATTGAGGAAAGAGTTTTCTCCTTTCGGCTCCATCACCAGCGCTAAGGTAACTGTGAGTGTGTGGGTTTGGAAACAGAACACGCTGTTGTTGGGCTCTTGATGTTAGTTAGTTGTGTTGGTGGTCCTGGGTACAATGTTGTGACGCCAGCATATTCCTCCCGAGAGTCCTGCTCTGGAGCAGTAGGTGTGTGGTGTGTTCTGCTCCTCGCACTGGAGCTTGCACTCTGCCCCCGGTCCTCCCTGTAGCCCTCCGCACTCAAATCTTTCCCAGTCCTGCTGCCTGGTGCCGGTCTGGGGACAAGGCAGTGCCACAGCAGAGCAGAGGATATCCAGACGGGTCGTTTCCATTTGTCCTGGGGCCTGTCTCTACAGCTCTGCCACACTTCCTTCCTCCTGGGCAGGGAGGGGGTCTTGACAGTTAGCAGGCTCCATGTGAACTTTGGACAAGAAAGAGTGGCTGGGTAGCCATGGTTACATGGACATGATCTGTAGCATGTCCTTGGCACTTAAGGGAATGTGCATCGCCTGACTGACACAAGATGCTGCTTGGTAGAGGGGCAGCAGTTACCACTGATAGTGAGAAAGGAGGCTGGGTGGCTAAGTAGGATTCTGTGGCCCTGCCCTGGCCCTTAGTGTAAGTTGCTCGAAGGGTAAGGACATTGTTTGTACAAAGGATGTTAGCATTTGTATTGGGTGGTTTTAATATTTTGTTTTGAGATAGGATCTCACTCTGTAGACCAGGCTGGCCTTGAACTCACAGACATCCACCTGCCTGTCTTCCTGAGTGCTGGGATTAAGGTGAGCACTGCCACACCCAGCTGGGGATGTTGTATTTAAGTGACAGTAGCCCTTTCAGGGTGCTGGCAAAAGGAACCTTGGAGGGTGTGAGTGATGAGCCACAGCAGCTGTGGAGGTGACATGTGACAGCTTTGGTCCTGGCCAGCTCTGGTTTTTCTATTTCCTCTTGGTGTCGCTCACTTGACTGGCCTGTGGGAGAGTTCTCCTGCAGCAGGCAAAGCTCTAGACTTTGGTGTCCCTGGTGCCATTTTCAAGATGATGGCAGGGCCCTGTTCCCTGGGTAGAAAGAACATGGTTGCCTTTGACCTGATGGTGCCGACACACGAGACTCTAAAGCAAGCGCTGAGCATCCTCTCAGGAAAGGGAGAGACCAGAGTGGTGGCTGAGACAGACAGACAGACTGCACGGAGCAGCGCTGCATGCTGTCTGTGCTCAGAGATGTGTGTCTTACAGTTGTGGAGAGCCGGGCTGAGGGCATGTCAGACTGGGCTCCCTCTCCCCGGGTGGCTGCCTCCCACTCAACTAGGGTGGCAGCCATTGGTGACCTGGGAAAACTGGAAACGGCCGCTGGAGTTGGGAGAGGGTTTCACAGCTTCCTGCCTCTCCTGAGTGTGGACCTCCGCAGGGCCCAGGGCGGGGAGGGGTTGGCTCCTGGTGGCTGTGCTGTCCCCAACGTTGGCTGCTCTCTTCGTAGGTGATGCTAGAAGATGGAAGGAGCAAAGGTTTTGGCTTCGTCTGCTTCTCCTCTCCTGAAGAGGCCACCAAAGCAGTCACGGAGATGAACGGGCGAATTGTGGGCTCCAAGCCGCTATACGTTGCCCTGGCCCAGAGGAAGGAGGAGCGGAAGGCTCACCTGACCAACCAGTACATGCAGCGGGTGGCCGGCATGAGGGCGCTCCCTGCCAGTGCCATCTTAAATCAGTTCCAGCCTGCGGCCGGCGGCTACTTCGTGCCAGCGGTTCCGCAGGTGTGTCTGCCAGGAGACCGGCTGTGTGTGTGTTGGGGGGGGATGCTGGTGTTCGGGTACAAGGATTAACCTGTGGTCACTCCATACATGGCCTCAGAGAGAGTAAAACTGCCCGCTAACCGATCCTCCGGCTTTCAGTCAAGTGCCTTTCACCCAAATCATCGGCCTGGGGCTTAGTAGTAAGGCCAGGGAGTCAGGACCGGTGCGGGCTCAGGTTCTCAGGATTCGGGTGCTCTTCTCCCCTCCAGGCTCAGGGCAGACCTCCATATTACACACCTAACCAGCTAGCACAGATGAGGCCTAATCCACGCTGGCAGCAAGGCGGGAGACCTCAAGGTAGGTAGCGGGAAGGAAGGGGGCAGGGCTTCGCTCTCCGGGGTCCACCTGTCCAGTTCCTGCCTCAGGGCCCAACCTCTGGGTGTCAGCGACTTGCTCTCTCTTGGCCAGGCTTCCAAGGAATGCCAAGTGCTATACGGCAGTCTGGGCCTCGTCCAGCTCTTCGCCACCTGGCTCCAACTGGTAATGCTCCGGCCTCTCGTGGCCTTCCTACTTCCACTCAGAGAGTCGGTGAGCAATCTAGCCTGTAGGAGCGTGGCTGGGGAGGAGGGTCAGGAGGACTAGCTCTGGACTAGCTCTGCTCTGGCTTGGTCAGTCTGGGGCTCGTTTTCCTAAGTTCCAGTTCTGTCTCAGGCTGTGTGCTTAGGCAGATTCTTCATTCAGGAGCAGCGACGGAGTGAGTCCTGGGTGTGTTGGTTCCTTTGAACATCCTTTCCTCATTGGTGGCATGTGAAGGGTTAACCAGAGATTCCATTTGGATCACTGTACAGACAACCTGCTGTTGAGGGGCGGGGGAGAAGGAGCCGCTTAGATAGAGTATGTCATGTTCTGAATGTGCGAAGACTTGAATGGCCCTTTGGCCCTGTGAGAGACGTGTGTTGGAATCCTTCTTCCGTGGGGCGTGGCCAGCTGGGCATCTGCTGCCAACACTGATGTGCGTTTGCTGGTCTGTTGTAGGGTCTGAGTGCCCGGACCGCTTGGCTATGGACTTTGGTGGGGCTGGTGCCGCCCAGCAAGGGCTGACTGACAGCTGCCAGTCTGGAGGTGGTATTGGCTGCACACAGAAGGGGGAAAGCTGGGATTTGACGGGCCTTTGCCCAGGCTGACGCTTCACTTCTGCGTGTTCTTCCCACAAGGTGTTCCCGCCGCTGTGCCAAGCCTTGCACCCCGCGCCGCCGCAGTTGCCGCTGCTCCCAGGGCTGTGGCTCCCTACAAATACGCCTCGGGTGTCCGCAGCCCTCACCCGGCCATTCAGCCTCTGCAGGTGAGGCCCGGCACAGCCGGGGGGGTGGCGGCCGCCTGCGTCCTGTCTGTGCTCAGTTTTAACGGTGCTGTGACTTGATTCCTTCCTCACCAGGTGTGGCACGCCTGCTCTGTCTCCCGTGTGGTGATTGCTCTCAGGCACTGGCCCTGAGGGCAACAGGCTTAAGCCTTCCGATTAGTAACAGTCCAGAAATACCAAGCAGCAGCTGGTGCTTCCAGTCCCTTGATATTTATTCTTCTGCCTGTCTCAGCTCTGTGAGCCCTGGCGTCCCTTTCACGCCCAGTGACCTAATGGGTCCTTGCTGTTTTGCAAGTTAATGTGGAATATAAAGGCAGTTAATAACCTCTAACTTAGAAGTAAAACTCAGCTTCAGGGGCTAGGGACATAGCTCAGTTAGCAGTCTTTACAAGGCTTTGCAAGACCAGACTTTGCTGAGTTCAGATCCCAAGCACATGTGTAAAGGTTGGGCACTATGGTGTCCCCAGTGCTGGGGGACAGGTGACAGACAAACCGTTGGACTTGTAGGCTAGCTGGTATAACGTAGTAGTGAGCTAGGCCATGAGAAAGACCGTGTCTTAAAATAAGGTAGCAAGCGTTAGGAGACCTCCTACTTGCACCCCTGGCACATGCCATGTATACAGAGAGAAGACTGGGCGGGTCGTCCATCTTTGTCGGTATCGGGGAGGCAAAAGCAGGGTCCACGAGGCCAGCCAGCCTACTGGGTAGAAAAAGATTCCAGACCATCTCAGAAAGCTTAGTGGGGTGAGTGGTGCCTGAGGAACAAGGCCCTAGGTTGACTTTGGCCTCTACATACACACATACACACACACACACACACACACACACACACACACACACACACACACACACACACAAAGAAAAGGCTTCAGAGTGTTGGGAGCTTCTGCTGCCTAAGCTGTTGATTTGCACTGAGTGTAAGCCAGGTACAGCCAGTTTGTTTCCGTGCTTGGCAGTGGTTTGCTGGGCCTGGGCCTTGCTTGCACAGACAGCTTCAGGAGTGTGATCTGCTTTGTGGATTCTTGTGTCCGTGTCCGTGTCCGTGTGTGTGTGTGTGTGTGTGTGTGTGTGTGTGTGTGTGTGTGTGTGTGTGAAAATAAAATCTGGTCCAGGCCACAGTGCTGTCGGGAAAAAAAACTAGCCAGGATGTTGGCATGGCCTGTATAATCCTGGTGCTGGGGCGGTAGAGAGAGGCAAGAGGAAGGAGTAGAGTTGAAGGTCAGCACTTAGCTACATACATGAGTTCAAGGCCAGCCTAGGTTAGGGACTAAATGGAAAACCAAAACTCCGGTAAGGAGAGTGAGGTGTATTGAGGGATGTTTTGATTCTCTCTCCTGTCTCCATTTGTACTGGAATTAACTAACGTGGAGGGAACTTAGAGGTGAAGGAACCGTGAACACCACTGTGAAACTGGCATATGCTTATAATTCTGGCCCTTGGGAGTTGGGGGTGGGAGATGAAGAATTCAGGACCTTCCAGGACCACATGAAAGACATAAAATTATGTTCCCTGTGGCCTGACTTGTACTGAAAGGCTTGAGTTCGGCAAGTGGAGCCCAGCGAATGCTCACCCAGCGTACATGGCAGGTTTGCTTGGTCAGAGGACCGGCTTCCGATAGCTTGCCATCCCAGGCTAGTTTCTATGCTCCATGTTCTGTCCCTTGCTGTCTGTCCTTCAGTTCCCCCAAGGACAGGATTAGTTCTCTAAGCACAAGACAGCCACCTCCGTTCATTCCTCCTTTTTCTCCTCGGGGACATGTTGAGCTTTTTACCTTGCTTGTCTTCCGGAGTGCTAACCCCGCTGCCCGTCCTGGTTCACAGGCAGCACAGCCTGCAGTTCACGTCCAGGGGCAGGAGCCGCTGACTGCCTCGATGCTGGCTGCAGCACCCCCCCAGGAACAGAAGCAGATGCTGGGTGAGTGTCCCGGGCTTGTAGAAGAGGGCGGTGAGCCTGGTTGGTGCCCGCTGTGTTCACGGGGGTTGGTGGTGATGATGGCCGTTCTGCCCACAGGGGAGCGTTTGTTCCCACTCATCCAAACAATGCATTCGAATCTGGCTGGAAAGATCACAGGGATGCTGCTGGAGATCGACAACTCGGAGCTGCTCCACATGCTGGAGTCCCCCGAGTCTCTCCGGTCCAAGGTG